GTTGAGGCAGAGTTAAAACAACCGCGCTAGCCCTGGCTATTCTCCACTTTTACACAGTGCAGGTCTCCACCCCACTTATCAACCTTCTGAGGGGAAGAGAAAAAAATTAAATACAAACAACTACGGCAGCGACAACAACATATGCAACCCTGACGCGAGTGGTGCCCTAGCACACCAACATGACTAACTGTGCATGAAATTGAACTGATTGGAGTTATTGACCAGAAGGCTCCAGCCCCTGAGAGGACAGAGAGGAGTGAGGGGGTGCCTTGTGTGTTACCTGATTGAGTGAAAAATCCTCGGCTGGTTGCTTTGATGCCGGGCACTTTACAGGAAAGAGTGATTTAATGGAACCTGCCAGACCTCATCAATGTCAGCACTCATGGTGAGGGCCCTCTATCCCGACACTGTTTTATATAAAAGTGCTTGCGATGACTGGCCGTGATGGACAGATGTTTTCTGCTTGTTTGAACTCCACAGTGAAAAAGAAACACAGATTTTAGCCCTCACTTCAGCCTCGAAAAGAGATCCTCTGAACCAAAAGAGGTTACTGCAGGCCATCCCAGCAAGCATCCTCTCTATTTTAGCGCTCTAAAAATAGCTCTATTGAATTTAAGCAGAGGTGGATAAGCCTGTAATTATTGTGACAATCATTAGGCATGCGCTGTTCTTCTCAAGAGGAACCAGCCGGTAAGGTGAAGCTGGAAGAATGAAGTCTTTAAGGGGGATCTGAGCTGTGTAAAATGCCGAAAAACCAGCGACGGCAAACCAGCCTCGCTGTGATGTGCAGAAGACATCCTTTTGTTTTCAACCTGCATGATAACACACACACACACACACACAGCCATCTATCAACTCTGCGAAAACCCACTGCGCTGCGTCTTCACTAGATCTGAATTGCATTGGAATTGCATCATTAATAGAGCAGAAATGATTCCTAGCAACTCTGGGAGAATACATTGACCCCTGAGGGAGAGTAGAAACAAGACAATGTTTTTACAGGAGGAATATCTAACTAGAGGTCCCATTACCACTTCATCAATATACAACGGCATGTGAGGGAGAGCATGGGAGGAGGGAGCGCGGCAAAAAGGAGAGGAATGTAATAGCTTATAGTGCTAATGGCAGTCTGAGCACTCAAGTCCCAAACATTCAGCTGCCTCATCTCATCTGAGCTGTGTAATTGCCGTCCTGGAAGCTGCCACGCGAGCAGCTGCCACTGAAGTGAAGAGTGGCAGCTGCTGGATGTTGAGGAGCAGGTCTAGGTCAGGTCCCCAAGTGGTGCTCCTTGCAACTATGAGATGTCATAATTAATAGCAATCTGGGGGCCCAGAGGCTTGCTTTGGGGCAGATGCAGTAGGGGCTAGCATGATTCTGCTAAACTGAAGTCAAACAGAAAGCGACACCTGCCGTTTTTCTTCTCTTATCTTTAATGTGTACTTATCGTGACTTTGCCTGTAGACGTCTGTGCTGTACCACAGAGTCTGCTTTTCGGGGATTATTTTTCTCGTTGGCATAGGTTTGACTTCTGTATCTGAATGTACTTACAGAGATGCCGCTATGGCATACCAGGGGAATTTATTAATCTTTGGGGACCGGCGTTCTCCCTAGTTAAGTAAATATACATGAGCTGCCATGCAAGGTACAAACTCCGAGCACCTTCACAAAAACGTGTTACTCTAGATCCGCTCTTTATTCTCACCCTCCCCTCTCTCCCTCCTACATGCCACTTGAGGGCAAATCTCACTCTGTCTCATCTGCTGCTTAATTTCACTGGAGCGGCCCTCCGTAATGAAGCGCCTTGATGTACATTTGCCAATTTCTTCCTCTGCCACTGCGATATAATTGGGATGTGACTAAGCATGAATACCCAGCACAGGGTTGGTTGACCTCTCGGTGACCCCACGAATAGCGCTTTTGTCATAATGGAGGTATTATCTCACATAATCTGGGAGTGGAGAGGGAATGTCTGCAGGGTGCCAGGGATAGAAATGGATTGATGTAACTCCCCTGCTCCTGTGCGCCACAGAGGAAGGAGAAAAATTTGCGGGATATATTTTCTTACATGCTCGTAATGAGGACATTTTCCTCTTATCTATTGCTGCTTTGTTTTTATTTGAGAAGGAGAACAGCTTCTGGCAAAAGCAGGGGTGTTTTTTTTTTGTTGTTGTTGATGGCAATGAGTTTTGCTGCTAGAAAGGATTTCTGTGAATGTTTGTATATGTGCGTGCGTGTTAGCCATTTCCCTGTGTGGGTGCACTGTATGCTGAAATGTTTGCGCGAATGTGTGTGTGTGTGTGTGTGTGTGTGTGTGTGTGTGTGTGTCTGGTAATGACCCTGTAAAATGACAAGCTGAGCTGGCAGTGAGAGTACAGTCGCTTGTCAGAGACAGACAAGGTGGAGGAGGAAGGAGAGTTCAGATAGAGATGTGGGGAAGTGAAGGGGGGGGGGGGGGCTGTGAGGTCGGTTGTTGCTGTGATTCACCATGCTGTCATCAGAGAGGGACTGAGGCCCCTGAGTGGCCCTCTCTATTCCCACCTGAGAGGCCTGCAAATGGAGGGGCTGTGCTGTCATTATTTACAGCCCGCAGCTCCTAACCTTGGATTCGGAGCTCATCACTGTGAAGGGAAAATCAGATTGGACTTGACGTGTACCCAAGCCAGTGACCTTGATAAGTGTGAGGTGCCTGCAGCAAGAGGTTAGGGAAGACGAGGTTGGATTTGTGCAAATGTGTGTGCACATGTTTGTGTATTTTCGACCAGGTGCGGCATTGGAAGCATGCCTGAATGACTGAATCATGACTTAAGATGACACGTGGTGAGGCTGCTCATGGACCACGGTACAGCAGGCATATGTGACATTACCTCTGTTCATACCATGGGCCGTCTGGTTATCAGAATCATATCACAAAGGGGAAATGATACCTTAAAATAAGCTGACTACAACCCCTGTGCCAAGAGTTTAGAACCAACCAATCCTTTAGCAAGATCCTTTTGAACCAAATAAACTCCATATTTAATTAAAGAAATAAACTTTATGCAGTCTGCAAAGATCTAAATATGCGTTTTTTAACTCCCATTTTCACTTTGATACTATATCACAATAACAACAATAACAAAAAAGTTCACAATCTAATATATTGCATTTTTAAGTTGGTGGTTTTCTGTGTCCCGCTTTCAGAAGACAGCGATCTCGCCTCAGATAGTCAGAAAGAATTTATCTAAGGCGACTCTACTTTTTGTTTTTAGTTGATGTTTTTTTGTTTAGAAAAAATAGTGGACCAATATTTCAGCAGTTTGGAAATAACATCTCAACAAGATATTGAAATAGACAAGACTTTTAGGTTTGTTTTAGTTCTCTATCTAAGGCCCCTGCCAAAGATTACTGACTATGAGGAACGTGTTCGCTCCACAAATAGTGTAAAATTACTATAAAACTTTCGTCATGAAATCAGTGAACAAAAAATCTCATCAAACCTTAGATTTAAAACTGACATTTTTTCATTGCCACTTTTTTCATTTTTTGTTTTATGTAATTGTTAGAAATAAAAAGACTTTTAAGAAGCATTTCAAACTAAACTAACTGACTGATGCCGTTTTTTATATTGGAATGACATATTCACTCTTGTCCGGCTAACCAACTAGTATTTGCTCTAGGGCAAAGATGCTTTTCATGCATAAAATACAGTATACACAATAAGAAATGAGCTACATCAATAAAAGGATAGAAATTATGTAAAAAAGTTTGGATTGCAAAACGACAAACCTTTGCACTCAACAAACATTTGCAGTTTCAGCAATTCTAACAAACATTAAATACAAAAAGAGAGAAAGAAGCGTTATGGAGCAGAAATCCCTTCCATCAGGACAGGATCTTAGTCAGGAAAGACCTTGTTTATTTAAGCAAGACAATGTCAAAAAGCCTTCCTTACACGTTGCAACTGTCTGTCTCTTTTTGCTGACCGGACCAGAGAAGATATATTTCTGAAAGGATCGGAAAACAGTTTAACAATGTTTATAATGCATGTTTCAGGGAAAAGGTGATTATTAAGAAGACCCTTCTGAATTTGATTGAGACGAAATGCCACTGTTATATTTAAAATAAACATTCTACAGGCTTCTCATATTCTTTTCGTAGTATTATAAAAATAGATAAAGGGGATAGATCGTTAACAAATCCTTACTTTATGCCTTCATTTACATTTACATTAGCTGTGGTCTGACAGCACATCCAAAACTTGCTCCAAGTAAAAATGATCTTCCTGGATGGTTTTAATTCTCAATTAGATCATCTTTTCCATTTGAGCAGGTTACCTGGAGCAATAAAACAGGGCACAGTATCTGAGGATGGGGGGATGAAAACGCAGCTTTCTTCCACCACGAGATGCCATTTGGTCATGTGAAATGATTAATTTCACACAAATACAGGTCATCCCCAAAAGCAGCAACATCTCATTCACAAGGGGCCCCCGTCAGCAGCTGAGCAGGAGGCTGCAATAAAATGAGCAAACAGCAGCACGTACTGTACGTCAATAAATCTTTGGAGGTTAAACCTGAGCTCTGTAGTATGTGAGCACCCCCCTCCATCCTCCATCAGGTAAAAGTCACTGGGTGCATCAAGACTGTTGAGACCAAAAAGTGGCTAATGAGCAGTTTGGGGAGTGTCCTGTGGTAGTGGGTACATACTCACACTGAGTCTGTGTTTGCATAAGAAGGATGAAGCCTTGAATTATGGGGTTTGTGTAAATACGGAGATGAGACTGTTTTTAGCACACCGGGAGGAAGGAGGAGTGCTTCGATGAGAAAAGTCCCTCTGTGCGCCGTGGAATTGGTCTTGGGTTGTTTACGACAGCTCGCAGCCCTCATATATCACAAGCAGTATGTTTGCTGTGAAGCTACAGTTTGTATGCCATCTGCCTTAGCTGAACTTGACCCTTCAAACAGACTTGTATTTGTAAACTGAGCTCTCTGTAACTGTTTTTATTTTCTCTTTCCCAGTGGATGATCCAAAAACCACATAGGGTGGCTACCTTCTTCGGATGCATTGGGACGGACCATTTCGGAGAGATCCTGAAGAAGAAGGCAGGAGAAGCCAACGTGGATGCCCATTACTATGAGCAAAACGAGGAGCCAACAGGCACCTGTGCAGCCTGTATCACCGGAGACAATAGGTCAGCCACCTCCCAGTCACCTTTGACCAATAAACAACCCCTCAGATAGGAAAGAGTCATTTCAATTTCATATTTACTTCCTTAGGCAGCTGACCTCTCTGGGCTGCAAGTCATAACATGGAATTATTGCTAAGCTCAGACAAAAAGAAAAAGAACAGCCTGAGCTTGTTTTCCTGGGCCCTCATTCTGTATCTCTAGCCGCCCCAGCGGGTTGTCATCCATCTATAGCCTGACAGTAGCAATGTGTTAGTGATGCCTGGCCTCTGCGTGGTCTCGCCCATCAGCCCTCTCAGCTGTAAAAGGGGCGTTAGCATCTCTAGTGACTCTCACGCCAGCATCATCATCAGCACTACTGAGACAGCAGAGGTCACACTCTGTGCTGAGACACGTACAAACACAAATCCAACAGTAAGGACTGCAGTTCATGATAGGCCAGCTGGCGGATCAATAGCCTCCCTCTCTAAATATTCCTCTCCTCTGCAGCCCTTATTCCGCTGCCCCTGCAGTTGTCAGTCAGTCAACGGCCGGACCCCGAGCACCCTGGGAGCCAGCCACTGTGAATGGTCTTAGTGGGCTTGTTTGATGTGGGTTCTGACACCTGAAAAGGTCAGGTGCCGTGCTAAGGGAGACGGACTCTGTAATATTTCTTACAGGTGTTTAACAGACAGCTCGGGAGGCCAGAGGAAAGGTCGCCGGCAGGGCCATATTGGAAGCGTAATGGCTTTGAAGGATTTGGAAATAACATGTCACAGCCCCAGGCTTTGATTAGAGCAAGTCTTCAAAAGGAGAAAAATCCACCTCCCTCGACTCAAATTTGCTCTATTCCGAGAGGTTGAGTTCCAATGAATGCAGAATAATCACATTTTAGCCATTAAAAATAGACGTATTCTATTTTTAGATGTGTAATCAAATTTTCAATCAGTCCCTTCAGGATGTTTGAATCTCTGTGATTGTAGCCACAGATTTTTTACTTTTGGATGAAAAAGATGTAGTCAATTGTGACTTTTTCGTAAGTTTTTTTTTCTGTGGAGAAAAATTAAAATGATCATATTTTCCAATTGGGTTTAAATAACTTCCTAATAGTTTGCGTAATAAGTTTAATATCGATTTAAGAAGGTTTCAGGCTTAGGAAGTTAACTTTGCATGATAGTCTTTGTTTTTTGCTGTCGCTTAATTGTTCATTTAATTGGAAATATTTGTACTTCTTCTGATGGCAGATAGCAGTGCCAACACAGTTCGTAAACCAAATGCGTTTTCCATCCTAATTACAAAGTGTTAGCTGATCTTTGTGAATACTAACAAGGTACATGTAAAAAAGTTGATTTATTTCTAAATTAATGAAATTTACAGAGTGCACTTTTACTTTATAGATTATTTGATTTTTTCAACTATTTCTAATGTCTAATTAGATATTTTCCCTCTGTTATTGCCATATTAACTGATGAAAATGGCTTTAAAGCTTTACTTGAAAAAATCCTATAGATAGATCAGTTTTTCTACAGGAAATTGAAAAATCTTGCAAACATTGATACAGGCTTTTTTCTACGGAATTGCACTCAGTGGCAATCTAGTCTTACCTCTTAAATGTATCATATCATGAGATGTGCTTATTCTCCGATAGTGCCCATGTCTGTCAGACTGCCTCTGTTACAACTCTCACTTTGGCTGTCATGTTTGTTCCAACCTTTGAGTCCATTACTGCTGCTCAGGTCAAACGTGGTCTCTCCCCTGCTGTCACGTCGTAGCCTTCATCATAACACACAATCAACTTAGCACACTGCTCGTCCTCTCTTTGACACTAACAGCGGTGAGCAGCTTTTCCTTGCCATGTGAGAACAGATCCAGACCCCTTCCTGTTGAAACACCCTCTTGTCATATGGTTGCCTAACAGGTTTCCCTTAAGTGGCAATGATAGTTGCTCTCATGGTGATGGCTGCTCATAGAGGGAAGGAGCATGAGAATTTTGTAATGTGCAATGTTAAGATAATGTCACCTGCTTCACTTTCCATCTCCCATAACTCACTGCTAATCTAAAGTGCTCATTTATTAATGCATTTCTGTTGTTTTTTTACCCTAATGGGCAACCCTAACCCTCTTTTTCAGGGGACAGCTTCTTGTTGGTCACAGACGCATCTCTTGGCTTTTTAAATCTACTTTACTGTTGTTATGAGATAACAAAATCATGCACTTACAAGAAAAGAAAGAATAAAGACATCCAGATGACTTTAACTTAACTTGGTTCAGACATTGAAAAAAACTGTTATCATTCCTTTTGTATCACAAAAGAACAAAGGAAAGTCTGAGGCCTGTGTTTTTTAAGAATGTTTTTTGAGACTAAATTAAGATGGATGATAAGCGAGGCAGAAGATTTATGGGGTCTGTCTCGGCAGGTCCCTTGTTGCTAACCTGGCAGCGGCAAACTGCTACAAAAAGGAAAAACACCTGGACTTGGACAGCAACTGGGAGCTGGTGGAGAAAGCCAGGGTCTATTATATTGCAGTAAGTGAGACTCTCTACATTCAGAAAGACTGTTCCACAACTCTGCTGCCAGAGGAGGACAAAATGTTAAGAGGCTTTATTCAGGAAATGCCTCAGCACGCCTTCTGCATTGTCAATATATCCATTCATCCTTTGTCGAGTGAAATGAGCTATGTTACCTATTGAGACAATACAGCTCCATTTTCCCTATTTTCCCCTCGTCTTTGTGCACCAAACTGCAGCACAGTGTGAAATTGTTCAACATGTAATGCCTTCATTCATTTCTTTTAACATGGAGACAAGCCAACAGGTGCTGCCAAAGTGTGAAAATCGATTATGCAAGTTCATTTGGCTTTACCCCCTCCGACACAATCATCCCCCTACAGACAAAACATACACACACACAGATTGAGGAGGACAGATGTGCGCTTACACATTCACAGACTCAAGCTTCACCACTGAGGTATTGTCTTCACTTGCAGCTTCTGGAGTAGGATGGCCATCCATGCTCATGTTTCCCCGTTTGGGATTATGTTTAATGCCAGCAGATCAGCGTTTTCTCTCATCTCAAGTCAAGACGATATCCCTGAAATTGCACTGCATTCCTCGTCTTTAAGCAGTTCATTATCGGCGTAAATCAGCATTACAGTCTAGCCGTCAACACACGCCTTGGCATAGTGTCCCAAGTGAAATTCCCAATGCTCCCCTTGTTGCCTACAAGCCCTCTAAACACGAGTGTACTGTTGTGCAGTAATGACGGAAGTTTCATAATTAGCCGCCCAGTCGCAGAAACAAACACACAAAACAGAGAAATGTTGTTAGAGCTCATGCCAGAAAGCAGATCACTCAGTCCATCCTTCTGAGTTTGTGTGGTCTCATTTTTAGCCTCTGCTTCGCATTAGCAAACATGGCACATCCTCTGCAAATTGGCAGTTGGGTTTTGCCCACATCCGACAGTCTTGTGCACAGGGAAAAGCTTCCGTGGGATTTGAGGGGGGATAGGAGGGCCACAAATGGGTGTTTGTCAGTGCTTGGAATCTAAAATATGGTGTTCGGAGTCCCTCTTGGGCCTCTTTGTCAAAACAAGGGATCATTCGCTTTATTAGAGTCCTATTCTTCCTTCCAAAGTACTTAGCTAGATACACTGCCACAGCTATTTCCACTTAATACTGTGTGTCGTGTCGAGACTGGCGTATACTAAGGCCTCTTCTCTCCATTAACCTTGTCGAGAGCACTTAGATGTATTTACCTAATTTACTGCCAGATTGTAAATTTCTCATTCTCGTTACACTAACCTTTTCTGTGTATTAATATGCGTTGTTGATTTTCATTAAACCACCGCCGTGTCGTTTATGCATCCGTGTGCACTCTGATCTGTAAATTTAATTACCAGAGAGTGCACGTGTGTGCATGCTTGCATGTTATTTGCTCACACATGTGTCTGTGTTTGTCAGAGCATGTGTGTTAAGGAGGTGATTGATGATTCCTGGCAGAGGCTCTCAAGGTGCCTGCTAGGATGTGGTGTGATTGGATGAAAACAGAATTATTAGAGGGCTCTGGCAGCCAGTCTGGCTCATCCAGCAGCAGCAGCAGCAGCAGCAGCAGGGCTGGTGGCAGACGCAGAGCAGGGCGGCAGTGCTGCCATTTCTCACAAAGAGAGAGAATGTTGAACTCCTGCCAAATGTTTGGTGGCAGGCTGTTGCTAGGAAATCTGGGTCCTTAGGCAAATCATTGCACAAAGACCAATAACAAAGGCGAGAGGGAGAAGAAGGAATGGCTAAACGCATTTCAAGCACAGCTCTTTTTTTTCGCTGGATGCCATCGCTGATGCAGTCGTGTTTACAGTTATTTCGTACCCCGACGATGGTAAACATCAGAAATGGAGGGTTATGCGTCGCGAGAAGGGGAGATGAGTGACTCTAATTGGTCGGGGTTGATGTGTGCATGCTGGCCCAGTTAGCCTCTTCTCCCCCCCTCCTTTCTTTTGCTCCCACTTTCCTTCCATTCCCATCCCCCCCTTGCCTTCTTTGGCTCCCCCCCCCCCCACACCCCCCACCCATTTTCTCTCCCTTTGCTCTCTTCTTTGCCTCCCCTTTTTTCTCCTTCTCTGGTCCCTCTGACACACACACACATTTGCTGTTAAACACACACAGCATGCACGCACACATTCTGCAGCATACCACTGGCTTGTTTTTCTTACCACTGAGCGCTTTGCCCTGTAATTTGATCTCCACTGCTTGATGCATCCTCCATGATGCCACTTTGAATTAACCTTTGTCTTCATAGCTCTCTTTGGTCCCTTCTAATAAAATGGCCTCTTCTAACTCATGCCATTTATATATTTAAGAAAAAGAAGGAAGTACTTGGTCCATCTCATGGTTTTGCACAGTGTAACTAACAGAAATAGTAGTAGGAAGGAGGGGAACAAGACAATTGACTGTGAAAAGGCCTGTTAATGACTGGGCACAGATGGTCAGAAATAACCCAAGGATAGACGGAGGAGACACTTGCCTCTGCCAACTGGCTTGGTACACAAAACTCACCCAATGAGACACAAGCTACAGAGCTGTTAGGTCACAAATCGGATCACAGCTGTTCGCTTGTGCCCTGCGCTAAGAGCACAGTCCCCGTTAGCTTGCAAGAGGTTGGCCACGCCTGAGGAAAACTAGCTGGCCCACCTTTTTTTTTCTCAGCGCAGCGACTTGAACCAGAATGCCTCACACTGTTAACACTGGCACTCTGTATATAGCATTAATTGCTAGTTGTATTCTTGCCCTCGCTGTAGGGAAAAGCTGAGTTCAGCTTCAGTCACTGTAGCATAATATGCTGAAAAGGAAGGCAAAAAAAAAAAAAAGAAAGAAGCAGCACAGTATTGGCACCACAAGCAGAACGCCAGCCTGCTTACACCCCAGAGTGACACACACACACACACAAACACACATTGTTACTCCACCCCACCAACCCGCTTTAGTTTTCAGCCAAAAAAGCAGAAGGAAAGGTTTTTCCACACACACACACATCTAACTGACACCTCATCAAGCAGCCGAAGGGCTGATTAGCGCAGAGGTGACTGCGGCTGTGTCTCCGCTCAGCTCAGGACCACACTGTCCTCGCGCTGACCTTCAGACTCTTCCTCTTTTTCTAGTTGCGCTCTTCTCTCCATCTTACTTCTGTTCTTCATCTCCAACGCTCCTCTCCTCATCTTTTTCCATCTCTCCACCCTGCCTCTCCCTCTCTTTCTTTTCCCTCTGTCTTCTCCGCGCTGTACTGCACCACTCTGTGCTGCCCCTGTCCTTCCACACAGCCAGGGAAGGATCATGAGGCGAAATGCAGACACTGGAGTGAAAGAGGGAGGGTGGATAGAGAAGTGGAGGGGGGGGGAGAAAAAGCTGGCAGGCTCCCCCTTTGTCTGCAGGCGATCAGTTACAGTCTTGGTTGCCGATGAAATTTAATCCCCACCGCATTTACATGCCAAGTTTGACTTCTGGCAAGCCTTATTAAATAGATTTGTAAATCATTTCATCTTGATTAGAATCTGTTCTCAAGGGGTTCACCTTTTTTTTTTTTGTCCGCCTTGCTTGTGTTTTTGTTATGTGTACAATCTGTGCCCACTGGTGTTAAGGTTTGAAAGTCAAACCCCCTTTTTCGGTGTGAGCGAGTATAAGCGTTGGACTTTGGGGGACAAAGAGCAATGCGTGCCAAGTCCCGTCTGTCACCGGCCAAGCCACTGTGTCAGCATGTCTCTCATCTCTGGAGGTCATGTCGGTGGACAGGCGACTGCTCTGATGTGCCTTTGCTTTATTAGGCTGACACCACAGTGTCTTTAGAGCGGAACAATGTCATTTCAAATGGCGCCTAATCAGATGGCATTTCATAACTGCCAGCAAACATCTTATGAATATGAATTTATAATGGTTCAATTACAAGTCGACTGCATCATATTCATTGGCTTATTTATTTTTTCTCCCGCTGGCCTGGGCCAATTATAGGATTTCAATCTTGAAGCAATCAAGTGATAAGGGTAAGGCGTTTAGTGTTTGCTGTCACTATATAATTCTCTCGAATGTTAAACATGCATCTGGGAGGGCTGTTTTTGTCAGAAGGCTGTGCATGGAGGTGCACCTGCCTAATTGAGTGGTAATGAGCTGTCAGGAGAGCGGGCTTGGTGATTGGCTCTTGGCGGGGCGTCCTGTGCCAGTGGGATGTATGGGCTGGCCTGGCCCTGCTGGAGGATCAGCCAGCTCCACAGCCCTGCAAGCCTGAGTGGGCGGAGTGTGGTAAATTAGGGTGGTGAGGCCAACGACGCTGGCTGTGGAGACATCCTGTGGCTTTCACTCAACTGTTGGATTTATTTAGCTCTTTTACAAATATTCTTACTCCTCATTTTGTTTCATGCTTCGTGTTGAGTCGGGGATAGGTTTTTAGTTCTTTCACTGAAGTAAAAGTAGAAATGCTGCACTTTTCATAAGAAAAAGTAAACATTTTTAGCTTTGATTTCAGCCTCTTAACATGAATGTAATTCTGAACACAGTCCTACATTTGTATTTACTAGAGTCAATATTACCACTCTTTTCAAGTGGCAATCTTCAGATCTTTAAGACTGGAAGACCTGCCAACCATCACTCCACTCCAGTGGTGTGTTAGCCTTTCCAAATGTCACAAGATAAAGCTTTAGGCCACCACTTATCTCATGAAAGGAAAATAGAAGTTTAAACACAGGAACAAGTTTTTCTCTTGAGTAACATCTCAAATATTAAGTGATGATGAAGTTCAATGTCAATAGCATGCTCGATCTCAATTCGTTGTCTAATAGATGAAACAATTCTAACTTTTTGAAAATTCAAACTAGCTGGATTTACATCTGTTTGTAATCCTAAAAATCCCCATACATTGCTCACCATAAATCTGGAAAGCTTGATGTATAGATTTCATTTCAATTTTGCAGTACATGCAGTGTATAAGACGCTAAATTACCAAACATTGTCAATGAAGAGTAGTATGTACGGATTAATCTTTCCAGGCAAAGATGTTTTAATGCAGGCCTTGTGCTTATTCCTCCACTTGTTTGCTCAACTTCAAATTAAGCACTGTAACCATAAGAAGAACAAATATGATGGGAAATGTTTACATGATGTCAGAGTTCACCTCAGTTTGTTATAGAGATGAGGTTCTCATCTTACTGAATGGCATCTCTTTTGGCTCAGACATGTCTGTTTGTGATTTATTTATTTTACGTTCTTTTTTTCTTGTGGAATTGTGTGTGCAAGTACGACTTTGGCATGGCTGAGCTGGATTTATTTTGGGAGTTCTTATTTACAATTAATAATTGGAACGTTTCTGGACCCTGGTGAGCTTCCAGGCTGTAGCCCATATTGCTTTAACAGAATACGATGTCTTTTCTCCTTCTACACCCACATTACCTTGTAAAAACAGTTTTTCTTCTGCAGCAGGGAGAACACCGTGTCCTCTCACCCCAGATTACTGTGTGCATCTGCTCCACCAGAAACAACTCTTTTCTGCTGGATGAAATAGTTTGGACTTAATGATATTTCTGCTTGCCATCACCTTGTCCCCTCGCTCCCTCTGCTTCAAAGCCCTGCGGCATATGTGCGCCTTTTTATTCATGAGACCAAGTTGTAAAGCACTGAATAATGTTTCTGTGCTACACTGGCATGTTGTGGCCATTTGTGCAAGTTCCACCTCTTAATTGAATAGCCTGAGTAATTATTTGTCAAGTAATGCTGAGCAGAAAATAAATAGCCACTTTGCGGCTGTGAATTGTGCCTGATAGCCATGTGTTGATACTCTCACCAGGGAGAGTAAAAACCTGCTCTACTGGCTAAGTATCTGATTAAGATTCACATGATGGAACCACAGACGCTTTAGGATAGCGTGTCTCCTGGGCAAAGATGGTGAGTAGAGTTAAGTGTCAGACTGTGTTACATGATCACACTGCAGCATAAAGCCTTGACTTAATAAATATTGCTGGAATAATCTCACCACCAACCAACCTGCAGCGCTCGTGTCAGCTTACCAGCTTTTTAAAGCAGCCTGAGAGCGATCAACACGGATTTGCATCTCCGTGTGGCTGATGCCGGACAATGTTCTCTGTGTCCTTTAGCATGGTTCAATCTTCAGTCTTTGTCTTTATTTTGCTGTAATCTGTTTATGGTTGCTTATAAGACGATGCATACCTTCCTCTTGCCAGTTTGGCCTTGATCCATCCTAAACTGACTCATTTTTTTACTCTCCCACTTTAAAGGAGGGTAATGACTTCCCAGGGTAATATCAAGTTAATTAATTTATTATTAATTTTTTTTTAAAGGATAATCCTCCGTATTTTGAGCATTTCCTGCTTTATTAGAATTTCTTATTGAACTTTTTTTTTTTTAGCAGTAACAAGTGAGTGTTTTTTTTTTATTCTGTAATCAGCACTGTTCACTTGTTTTCATTTTATATCCCACAGAGGGAATAAAATTGCGTTGCATCACGTCTTTAAATAACATGCTTTTTAGATCTATGGAGACCAATTCCCCCCTTCTTTTGTAGTTGTTTCCATTTCTTTATGCAACTTCTGTCCTGTAGGTGAAAGATCTAGAGTGCAGGCAGGCCAGTTCCTCATCTGGAGTCAATCACAGTAGAGCCATACTGTTTTATGGTAGAATGTGGTTTGACATTGTTTTGCTGGCTTAAAAAAGACCATCAATCAAATGGCAGCCTGTAATACACCAAAGCCTAACTTTCATTTAGCCATCACCTAGTAAATTAATCATGCACCGATAACAAGTCAGATTGTCTCCATGCTTTTAAGTCTGGAGTCGATGATGCCTAGGAATAACAAAAAACTATTAAAAACTACAGTTTGGATTAATCACACCAAAGGAAAGTGTTCTAGCTCTCATCAGCAAAATTTGAGAGGATCTGACACTGTGAGAATATGGCAGGATTTAGTTGGCGTTTCAGCTTCCGTATCGTGCTGTGGGATAGTTTTCTATTGCCATTCGTTTGTCTGGTGTTCAGATTATGAAGCATTGAGGTCTGTGTCTATTGTATCGAGCAGATTCAATTTTTCCTCTTTCTGCCGAATGCAAACCAAATGTTAAATGGGGAACTTAGTCTGGTGTGATTTGTGGGACCTTTTCTTGGCTGGAATCAGCTATTTTTTGGAGTCTGTTCTGATTCCATGCAATGGCTCAACTTTCAAATGGTAACAATTCCCGTTGTAGCTACACTTTCTGGTGAGGGTCCCATGTTTTATGATGATGTGCCCTTTATTTGACTTTTACTGCTATGGCAGAAATTTTACTCACAAATAACAAAGCAGGCAAAATCCAAGATCACACCCATATGTTAATGCTCATCAGTTTGGAATGCAGAAAATCTCTTTATGTCAATAAATAGTCAAATTATGCTCATTTGGCGTATTGTCAGCTGTATAAAACTTCTTGAAATGTTTACAGGAGAAGGTTTTGACAATTCTGCAACATGCGATTTTCCTCCTCCAGGTTGTTATTTATTTATTTTTTGTTGACAACAAAAACTACTCCTCAGAACATTCTAAATTACCAAATCTGAAAAGCATTGTTTCCTTGAAAGGAAGACTTATTGTTTATTTCACTTTACAAAAACATTCAACCAAATGTACCAGTAGAGTAGTAAAGTTTCTAAGTCTGGGTTTCATTTAGCATTACTGGTGTTAACACATGCAGAAGGGAAGTCTCTGTTTTTCATACATGGTCTCACTTAGAGGCTATTACATTGACCTTATCTATTGTTTCTCAAGTGTATATTGTAAGCAGCTTTGGAGGCTTTATAGAGACTTAGCCAGCGGGGCTGACATTGCTCTGGTGGAACATTTGGACCTCTGGCAAGTGTCAGATTTTTCAGCTTCACATTAAATCTCTTAACCCAGTTCTTCTTCCCCTTCCTTTTCCCTCTCGCTGTCTGTCTGTCGTTCTCTTCCTCTTCCTCTCCCTCACTTTGCCATGCTAACAAGCTGGCTGTGATTTATTTTTCATGTGTGGCACTGCTAGCCTCTGCCATTTCTCTTTTCCTTTTAATTTTCCAGCCTCTAAATTCTTGTGCCAGTGCTTAGCCTGGTGCCCAGCCCCTGAGGGGCCAGAGTGGAAATGCAGCCAGAGCAGCTGCACATCACCCCAACTGGGCAAAGTCCTCCAGACGCAGTGTCATGGGGAGGCCAGAGACGCTTTGATTAGCATGTCTGTCGTTATTGGCCAGCTTGAATGTCATGCACTGGGAGCCCAGTTGTCTAATGCTTTGGCCGGCCAGTGGGGCCACTCCCTGCAATTACTGATAGGGCTGCTTGTTCCAGTTTGGAGGCGAGGCCAGGGAGAGCGTCGGTGCCAAATGATCGTCGTCAGTAAATAAAAAGCAGAAATCTGTCTTTTTGATGTTCTCTATGTGCGTGCTTTATTTTCTGATGCTGTGGTGCAATCACATTTGAAAGCATTTTGCACTCCCAACATGAGGGGTGCGGGGTGGGGTGGGGGGGATGGGGTGGGGTGGGGGCAATCAAAACAATAACTGTGGTTCCTTTTGACAAAGCCCTTGGCTCACAGTTGTCAGAAGATGTAAGCTGACTCATCCACACAAGAAGGGCATGTATCCCTGGGAGCGAGGGGCAAAAAAACTATGATGAAACCTCCCCTCTGTGCGCGCCCTTCTCCGTTGAGCCGGCATGGATTAATTACATGACTAGTAGCTAGTTTAGTCCCATTATTTATTTTTTCTTATAAATAATTTCACTCGCCTACTCTGCCTCTATTTTATTCTGCTCAGGACTTTTCAGCTTCACCCTGTGGAAATAAGAATGCATTGATTATTTTCCATCTAGCAAATATCCCACCAGCTGAGGAATAACATGCCTTCCACCTAATTGGTTTGTTTATCTTGAACAACAGACTCTGGGTTTGTTTGGACTCTGGCTGGCATCCACACACTGCACCACTCCTCAGCACGATTACTCACCTTGGGGGGAGGCTGCTGTGGCAAGGTTGATGTTCTCCACGTAGACATCAGGCTGTCATTCTCCCCGCTTATGTGACATCATTTGCCAAGACAGATTTGTTACAGGAGAAATAAATTCAAGCCTAAAAAGGGATTGATTTAAGGACAGGCTGCAAGTGGAAAAAGGCGACAGGAGGGATGGGGGCTCTGAGACACATTTCACCACTCAGAGGGCTCGGGCCAGATCCAAACAAGCTGCCAACAGAAAGACGGATTCTGGCGTCATGTATAATTGATAAACTGTATGTTCTAGGTGTCAGCTT